TGAGGAAAATTGGCTCCCTCGACCTGCTTAACACACTGCTTGGGGTCCAGCCCAGGAGATGCTCGATGGCTTTGCTGGGCTGCAAGCACCCATTGCCGGCTCCTTTCCCGTTTATCACCCCTCAGCATCTCCGGGTGCTTCCCCGCAGGGCTGGGGTGGGGCAGGCAGGGAGAGTCTGGCAGCAGGCAGCACCAGGGGTCATGGCCATGCAACCTCCAGCAGGAGGAAGGGGTGTGGTTCCTCTACCACAATCCCACCGTGTCCCACCAGCCCAGCATCCCGAGGACCAAGCTGCTCCCTCCATCGCTGTCAGCCTTGGAGCAGCTGCTGTGGGGCTGGGGGGGAACCCACCAGCAGAAAGACCATGTTCAGGCCTGGAGAACTGACGTGGGACACGGAAAATACCCTTTCCCTCTTCCTGCCCAACCTGGCACACCAGCACTGTCATCAGGATTAGTTAGGCAAGGTGGCTGCCTCTCATCCCTCGGTTCACCTCCCAAATCCAGCTTTGTCCTGCGTGGTGGCCACCGCTGGACAGGCTCTCCTGCTCTTTGCTGTCCCCATGCACCTATAACCCCCAGCTCCTGAGGACTCCCTTTCTCCCCAAAACTTGGGGTTTGGGAAACTTCCCATCTGTGCTTCTGGCATCCCTGAGTCATGGCTTGGGGACGTCCTCCCCTTCCCTGGTCCAACCAGCCTGGCCAGGCTGGTGGAGGTGACACAGTTTCATGTGGCCACATAGGCCACTGGTGTGGTAATTAGCATCCCCAAGAGCCGCCAGCCCATCGGCCACCTTTCCCAACTCCCCACACGGCTGCAGCCACGGCCGGGCATGAGCCAACACTTGGATATGCTAATGGAGATCTTTGCCAGCAGCTGCCAAAAATTTTTGTCACCACTACCAGGTCCCCACCTCCAGGAACATGGGACTTTTCAAGTGAAAAATGATGTAGTGCAATAGGTGGGGACCAGGATGACCAGAAATGTGGGTGGCCAGTGAGCACTGGGCAAAGCCCATCTCCACCAGGAGGGTCTCTCCAGGAGGGAGGTTGGTCCCTGCGGGTGTCCCCAGGAGAGCAGCACAAGCTCTGGGATGCCGGTGTCACCCATCCCAGCTCTCTTGGGTGGCAGCATCAGGGCTTGCACATTGTTGGTTTGGGATGAGGAGCAGCAGCGCCGGTTGCCCTGGCAACGCGGGATGCTCTCCTCCAGATGGAGACAGTATTTGGCAAGATTTGCTAAAAATACTTCCTAACTCAGCTGTGACAACACCACCCATGTCACATCCCCAGGGCTCAAGCCGGGTCGGTGCTGTCCCTGCTGGTTCCCAGAGCTGCCCCTGGGCCACTTGCCCTGGGGGGTAGAGGGGGTGGACCAGGGGTGGATCAGGCTCCTCATGTCCCACCAGCCTCCCCGGCTCTGGCAGACCTGGCAGTGCCACCAGCACCGGTCCCTCCCCAGCTTGGCCAGCCCACGCGGCTGGGGACAGAACAGGGAGCTGGGGACAGCTGGTGGCATTTACCCCCACGAAGGGACAGAGGGGAGCTCCCTGTGGAGGGACGTGCAGGCACAGGGGGGCTGCTGGGGAAGGTAATGACTCCCAAGTGTTTAAATAGGTTTAAAAGCACTTTTTTTTTATGATTTTGCTGCTTTTCCTAATACCATTACAGCCTTCTCCATGGCAACCAGGTGGGGCAGCTCAGACTTTGGTCTCGGCTGGGAAGATTAGCTGCCAGAGCTGAAATGATGGGGGGGGAAGAGATGGGGAGGTCCGCGTTGGCTGGGGCTGAGAACATCCACAGTAGGAACAGAAAATGAGGTCCCTGTGGTGGTTGCGGTGCCGCAGTACACCGCAGGGCAGGTGGGAGGTCCCAGTGCGCAGGATGGGCTTGTGGTGATGCTGGAGGGACCGGTCAGAGCATCCCCTGCCACAGGCGGTGGGACACGTCTTGAGGAGAGGACCTCAAAGAGGATTAAAGGTGGAGCTGGGTCTCGCTCTTCCCTGCACCGCAGCCACTTTGGGAAGGGATTTCCTTATTTACACTCTTTATTTTCCCTTCGCAGCTCGTTTGGTATTTCCCCTGAAAGAGGGCTGTCGGAAGCAGGGATAAACCTGCTCCCGGCCGCAGGTAGGGCTCAATTAAACTTCCCAAAGAGGTTTTGTGGGTTTTGGCTGGCTGGCCCATGCTGGTTCAGCTCTTTTTAGCTCCTAGATTGATTACACCTTGTGTCAATATGTGCTTAGTGCCTATTAGCGGATGCGTGTGCCTCCATCTCTCATTTCTCCCTTCTGATCTATAAATTCCCAGAAGAGAGAATTAAAAATAGAGGGGGAGGAGAGCGGCACGCTGGGCCAAAAAGAAAGAGAGAGAAGAGTGCTGGTGGGAAAGTTGGGTTGCAAGGCTGGAGCCTGGCCGTCTCGCTCCCACACCTCTTCCCATGGGCACGGTCCTGCTTTGGCTGGGGAGAAGGTTGCTTAAAGCCATCGGAGTTAAGTGTTGAAGAGCCGAGATGCGCCCGGGGGAGACACCAGGCTCCCATGGGACGGGTGAGGTTGGAGCATGATGGGGATGCCCGTGGCGTGGGGCTGGTGGTGGAGAGCATCCCTGCTCCATCTCCACCTCGGGGACCGGCACAGGGGAAACTGGAGCTGAGAAGAGCTTCAGCACCGGTGGCAGATGACCATTCCAAGAGCTGTGGATGTGAACAGTGTCAGCCCTGTCCTGGTGCATCTTCACGGAGGAACAAGGCTACCAGAACACAGGGAAGCGTTAGCCATGGCTTTTCTATCCAGCAGCTGCTGGCCCACGGTGCTCCTCTCATTTGGGCAGAAGTGGCTTTTTATTTATTCTTTGTTTTGTTTTGTTTTTGTCCTTCTTTCCTGGAAACTGGTAAAAGATTCTGCAGAAGCTGTGTTGGACACCAGTGGGGAAATGACCTGGGACACAGAAAGTGAGGTCGCCAGCCTCCCCCGGGGTGGTTTTGA